CCCTTTTTTTTTTTACATACGTATTGTATTTTAAAATTTTCACCGGCCTTTGTCTCTGCAGAGCTCACGACACACGCGCCTCTGGGACATCCTGGACGAGCGAGAAAGCAGTTACTCGTTCGACAACGACAACGAGGAGATGGTCACGTTCGAGCTGAGCGAAATGCTCCTCATGCTGCTCGCCGCCAGCACCGACGACGAGGTGACCGACTCCGAGGACGAGTGGGACTTGTTTCATGAGGAATTGGATGATTTTTACGAAATTTACCTATAGCTGCACCCCGCCCCCCGCACCTACCCACATATCACCCAATCCCTAATATATATAAAAAAATATATATATTAAACCCTAGAATGAACTGTCTCGTGCGAGTGATGGACAGTAGCCCCGCCCCCTCCTCTCAACTTCTTGAATTGTGGCAGTGCCTTTAAGCAGGCCATTAATAAATGAACTTAAAAAAAAAAAAGTGCATTTGTGCTTTAAAAAAAAAAATCTAGATCCCGTGACTTTTGCCCCTTGTTGTCCAAGCAAAAAAAAAAAATTGCGACGGGCATGTCAGAAGATTTGACCCTTTTTGAACCCACCCCCCCTCCTTCACCTTTGTTAAAGCTGTTTATAGCTTATATATTGTGCTAACTATTAATCATAGCCACGTTCCTGATGTACTCAGTATTTACTGTCCAGCCATGCCTTTTTTTTTTTTTTTTTTTGTTCCTTCAACCATCAAAAGGCGTGACGATCACTCGGCTTCACTATTGGTTTGTTCAACCTCCTCCCGATCCGTTTTGCACCTTAAGTCACCGAGCAGCTCACAGGCGAATATGAACTTTCAATTCCCCCAATCCGAACTGACCCATTCATTTCATGAAGTGCAATATTCTACTATCTACTGACTTTAAATGTTGTTTGGAAAAAAAATAAAATTAAAAAAAAAAAAAAAAACAAGAAAAAGATGGGGAGGGAGGCAGCCCTTCCTCAGATCCGGGCGAAAAAGTACAACGGGGGATGGGGGGCGGGAATAGGGGCCACACGTCGGCTTTACCCGCCGTATTTTTATCCTACACATTTGAACTGTACTCGTGAAACGTTTCTCCGCGCCCCCCCCACCCCCACCCCGCCCACTCGGTAGCTGGTTTCAACCTGTCCCAACTCTGTTGGAATGCATATGTTTATACTGAAATGTGTGTTTTCTATGTTCCGCGGCCATCCATCTTAACTTGAAAAATTAAAAGTTTATTATCAATACCTGGTGTGCGGTCCTATTTTTTTGGTTTGGGGCGGTGACTGTGAATGAGGCACGGAGGTTTCAAGAGGAAGAGGGGTTTCATTTCGATCGCGCTTGCTCCTCAAAATTTTTCTCAACTCATTCCCTCCCAACGACAAATTTCATATGTCTTTTCAGACTCCACACATTCAACCCCAGGTATGTATTTTATTATTATTTTTTTTTTTTTATGACTTAACTGTCTTAAACTGTCAGAAATGAAATAAATCTCCCCAAAATAATACTTTTAGACTTTTTCATAGAATCTGACCAAAAGTGGTATTCCTTATGGGGAACAAAAACCTGGACCATGGACAAGCAAAAATATATTTTATATAATACGTACTGAAATTGGCGTGTACAATTGACAAAAAAAAAATACCTACCAAGAATGAGAGGAAGCTTCACACGCATTGTGTTCAAATAAAAATCAGGAAAGCTGGAATTTAAACATTTTCAGAATGATACAAACTCAACCAAATACAAAATAATATTGTAAAACACACATAAAAAAATAAAAACCAAATACCCTGAAAGGAAAATTTTCCAAACTCAACCACATACAAAATAATACTGTATTGTAAAACACATAAAAAATAAACACCAAATAACTTGACAGGAAAACCATTTCAGAATGATAAAAGCCCAACTAAATAATAAAAAACAACATAAAACATACAGTTACACATTTCCAAAGGCATTCAAATTTAAATGGACGTCATTCAAAACCGCATAGTTAGTCATGAGCCCCCCCATACCCCCCGCCCCCCCCCCGGCAAATACCAATATTTCATTGGACTGCAAAGCAAGTTTCCTTCAAATAAGACTCAGCTCACTTGACCAAGTGTAATTTCATTTCTCTTTTTAGGAGATCACAACTAGTCTTTTCAAATTCGATGCTTCCGGGAACGCGGCCATGTGACTTCACTTCCCCTTTCTTCTGGCTTCCGGTGAACGAAAACAAACGTGACACAGTGGGCATATAATAAAATCTAAAAAAATTGTTTTGAATGTATTGTAATGCCCTCCAATGCGGAAAGAAGGATGCACGCAGTCGCTGATGTAATCTGTCGTTTTTAATAAACAAAAGGAGCAATAAACACACATTCATAGGAGTTGCTGTGAGCCACAACTCACGCCCATGCGTATTACGCCAACCTGGCTCCTCCCCTCTCTATGACGTCACACAAATACCAGAAACAGATTTTACAGTATCAACAGGTCCGTTATCTGTCGCTGTCCTTCGGTACTGTGCTTTTTCAGTACTTTTGCTAAATGTTATACTTCCTCGTAACTTTAACCACAAATAAATCCACACATTTTTGTGTGGTTTGTGTTTTTTTTGTGTATTTTTTGTTTTTAGTTTCTGTTCCTCAACAGCATGTCCAACCATTGTCAAAAAAAAAAAAAAAGTACTCATGGTAAGTATCCCAACAAAAAACTTTGAGGGTGAGGGCGTGTCCAACCAACTTACGAAACAAGACCCTTCGTGAGGACTGTTCAGAGTGAAACTAAAAAGCAGAAATAAAAACTTTTCAGGATGGTGACAATAAAAAAAAAGGAAGAAAGTCGGTGGTGGAGTGCCAGCAGGAGCAGAAAGATTTCAACACAACGACTTGAAGTGCTCCCCAAGCTATGTCGTCTCAAGGGTAAGCTGCTCCATTTGATTTGATTTATTTATTTTTGTCTTTCAGTCATCTTTCCTGATATTTGCGCCAATACAAACAGTGCAAAAGAACTCCTGAAAGTATGCATGTGTTTGTTTTGTCTTTTTTAGGACCGGCACGGTAGTGCTGGTGCTTCTTTCCCTGTTGACGCCAGGCTGCATGGCGGATGAATACCCGTTCAAAATGTGCGTGACTTCGATTAGGAGAATCGTCGACCTCTCCAATCAAAATCGAACGTCCTTTCCCGAATTTCTGCCCAACACGACGGAATACCTGGACATCTCTCACAACCCGATCAAGAGTATCACCGCGGAGGCTTTCCCCCGACTTCCCCTCCTGTGTTTTCTGAAGGCAACTTTTTGCGGGCTCAGGGAGATTTCCCCCAGCGTGTTTCAGCACCTTCCCGCACTTCAATTTCTCAATTTATCCTCCAATGAATTCCGAAGCGTTCCCGCCGTTTCACTGCCCCGATTGACATTCTTGGATTTGTCCGAAAATCTCTTCGAGGGCTATCGGCTCCCCGAGTCTTTTCAGAACCTGACAAATCTGCAAGTGTTGTCCTTAGGGAGCAAAGCGGCTCAATCGGTGCTTTTAGACGACTTCAAACCTCTGGCGAACATCTCCCTGCACCATTTGGTTTTGGGCGCCGGCGTCCCCTGGCGGGCGTACGAGCCGGGAGCTTTGGGGATGTTGTCTCCGCAGAAACTGTCCCTTTACGTTGACTTCTGCGGCCGCTTCGACGTATTCAACGACCTCCTGGTGGATTTGAACGCCACGCGGTTGAGCGCCTTGAGGTTCCTCACCGTCTTTTCCGACGACTGCGACGTCACCGTCGACCCCTTCCTGAACGTGAGATCGATGCCGTACCTGCGAAAGCTCACCGTCGAAAACACGTGGATCAACAGCTCCTTCCTGCAGATCTTTTTAACAACCATTTGCCTGGCTCCTCTTCAGGAATTCTTCTTCGTCAACATCACGTACAGCGAGGACAAACCCGACGGCGTGCAGTTTCACTTTCACCCCGCCGATCGCAACATCAGCATGCGCGCCGTAACTTTCGATAAGGTGATACATTATCAATACAGGTATCCCATATTCAACATGAGTTTTGGGGACGCGTTAAATTTGAAATACCTCAAGTTTTCCGGGAGCGGCATGAATATTTTACCCTGTAAAATCTTAACCACGATGCAGACGCTTGAGACCCTAGACGTGTCCGACAACCTCCTGTCGGATTTGGGCTTCTGGTGGCCTTCGTGTTCCTACACGTCAGCTTTCCCGAGCCTGAAGCGCCTGTTGATGAGCAAGAACCGTTTCGCCAGTTTGTCGTTCATCTCGAAGCAGGTGCACGCGATGCGGCGGCTGGAGTCCCTGGATTTGAGTTTCAACTCCATCTACCTGGACGAAAGATGCAACTGGCCGGCGCACTTGATCGAGATCAATCTCGGCAATAACAATCTGGGCAACGACGTTTTTAAGCATCTCTCGCCAAACTTTGAGCGCATTTACTTGTCTAAAACGGGAATAACCGCCATCACCCAAGAGGACCTGTCTGGGTTTCCCAAACTGACGCACCTCCAGCTCAGTTTCAACAGCATCAAAACGTTGCCGGAACAACTCAGCGCCCCGAATCTGATCCGTCTCTTCGTGGACCAGAACGCGATCACGACTCTTTCCCAGGAAGTTTTGGTGGGACTTCCTCAGCTTCAGATCCTCAAAGTCGGAAACAATCCCTTCATCTGTTCCTGTGACCTCCACTGGTTCCTCATCGGTTTGAACACGTCCTTGCTCTTGGACTGGCCTTTGGATTACATGTGCAGCGCGCCGGTCAAGTTTGCCGGCCTTCCCCTTTCCGAGTACAAAATCAGCGCGATCGCCTGCGAAACGTGGCTCCAAACCGCCGTCGCTTTCGCCGTCTTGCTATCGGTAGCGACGGCGGCGGGCTTGATTTTCTATAAACTGGACGGCGTGTGGTACACCAAGATGCTATGGGTGTGGATCCGGGTGAAGAGGCGGGGCAAGAAACGTTCGCACTTGCTGAAGAATATGTCCTTCTCCTACCACGCGTTCATCTCGTACAGTCACAAGGACGCCGACTTCGTGAACGGCGAGCTGGCGCCGTCCTTGGAGGGCGCCGGGTTTTCCCTCTGCGTCCACGAACGGGATTTCGTACCCGGCGAGTGGATCATCGACAACATCATCAACTGCGTGGAGTCCAGCTACAAAACCCTGTTTGTCCTCTCCAAAGATTTCGTCCGGAGCGAATGGTGCAACTACGAGCTTTTCTTCGCCCAACACCGAGAGATCAACATCCAACAGGATTCGTTGGTTTTCCTCCTGTTGGAACCCATCCCCGCAGATTGTCTGCCCAAAAAGTACTTGAGACTGCGAACGTTGCTCCGGCAGCAGACGTACCTGGAGTGGCCCAAGGACGAGTGGAAGCGGCAAGTGTTTTGGGCCAGTTTGAAGTCCATGCTGCACATGGCGGACAAATCCATCGTTTTGAGGGACGCGGCCGCCGATCTCGCGGATACGGCTGCTCTACTTACGAACCAGTCTTAACGCGGGTGACAGCGATTGTCTAAAAAAAATAAAATAAATCTGCATTTTGAACTGTTATACTATTTACCATTCCTAGTACACTTTGAAAGCTGTTGATTATTAGCGATGGTTGAAAGAAACAAATGACGCTCCCGTTCATAGTTTGTAAATTCAAATCTTGAATAAATCTCCTCACGAACGCCCTTTCCTGCGCTTTGTCTTCATGCACGTGACTGATTCCCCAATGAATAATTGTGAGTTTTGTGTCAAGGTAAGTCAAAAAAGTTACATGCTCGAATGATTTCATAAAATCCCGTACCAACAGGGCATCCAGCATCTTCACTTTATACTCAAATCAGAGCGATCGTGGAGTCAAAAAAGTTACATGCCCGAATGATTTAATAAATTCCCGTACCAACAGGGCATCCGGCATCTTCACTTTATACTCAAATCAGAGCGATCGTGACGATCGGCGGTCCAGTCGTCTTCCCCTTTTCACCGAGTGTCAAGAGCGCTTGGACATTTTACTTTGCTCTCTGGGGATCTGTGGAAACTTCTCGAATTCTACACTTCATATCGATCAATCTTGTCGTCAAATGCAAAAGGTAATCCGCTTCCAGTGGCTCCTCAGGATTATCAGAGTGTCAAAAAAATATCGATCGTCAATTTCTAACCCCCTGACGGAGCGCCTCCAAACGATTGTAAAGTGGATTAGGACGTAACAAGTTTGTCGAGTCGTTCGGGAATTTTTGCAAAGGGCTCCAAACTGTTCT